ACACCACCCCCCACAAAAATTGTCTGTCACCAAGGAACCACTAGTGAAAATGGTTCACCGTCTCCCTTGCGTGTCATTGTTCTCCTAAGCCACTACTTCCCTTGCGGTACTCTAGACATAAAAGTCTGCCAGTTCTTGTCCTTTGATGGATGGGAAAGGCTTGAACTTTATTTGGAATGAGTCTAAGAACAACCCCACTTGCTCATCTCGGTAGGAGCATTAGGGCTTGGCTGCAGCACTCTAATGGGTTGTTGGGATAAGACTTGGGCTGAGTGTCCTTGGAAGTATGAGGTTAGCTCCTTCACTGTGCATACCACAATGAAAACTATCTTATCCATTATTGAGTAGCGCAGCTCGGGCCGTCTCGACATCATGGTCACATAATAACCCAATCGCTTGATATCTCTTTCCTCTTGAACCCATACTGAGATCACGGCCTGGACAGATATTCCTAAGTATATGTATAGAGTCTCTCCCAACTAAGGCTTTTAAAGTACTAGCGATGAAAGGACATATGCCTTTAGAGCCTCGAATGCAGCTGGCACTCACCAATCCATGCAAATCTCTTATCCTTCTTGATCGTCTGGAAGAAGGGAGTGGCTTGATCCATAAGTTTAGAAAATAACCTGCTCAAAGCCGCCAGTTCCCGGACAGCCGCTGGCCTTCTTTTATATTTCACGGAGGCTCCATATCAAGGATGGCCTAAACTTTCTCTGGGTTGGGCTCTATTCTCTGTTGTTGATCATGTGTCGCAAAAACATCCTCTTTGCACCGCAAAAGTTAACTTCTTAGGGTTAAGGCATAAATTTTACCTCTTAATGCTCTCGAACACCTTCCTGGGTATGCGATTCTACTGCTTTGCTTTTGACGATCATATCATCAACATATGTTTCCATACACTTACCGAGAATGGGAGCGAACAACTTGTTAACCATCCGAGTGTAGGTCGCCTTAGAATTCTTCAACTTGAACGACATTGCCTTGTAACTACATACCCCATTTGGTGTGTAGTGAAAAATGTTTTCTCATCATATTCTGCATGCACCCGTATCTAATCATACACATTGGACATGTCTATGAGGCTCATCACCTCGTATTTCGCGGTCTCATCCACTAGCTGATCAATGCTTGGTAGCCAAAAGAGGTCCATTAGACATGCATTATTCACGTTAGTGTAATCCATGCACATCCTCCCGTTATTCCCTTTGGGTGCGAGCAGTATGTTCCCCCATCAATCTGGGTACTTTACTTCGCGAATGTAGACAATACATTGTAGAGTTGTCACCTCTTTAGCAACGAAGTCCCTTCTTTATGATGAAAAGAACTGCTTCTTTTGCTTCACTGGCTTATGTCTCAGGTTGACCGCTAGTCTGTAGCAAATGATCTACAGGTCAACCACTTGCAAATAAAATGTTAAAAGCTACAAAACCGTCAGGAGTTGAGTTCTTAATAGCTAGGGAAGCATCCTTCCAACCATCACTTTGTTATCTTGTTTTTCCAGATCCAGGAATTTTTAGTGGGCTCTTCCCTAGACGTCCCTCCTCATTTAACACCTCTACAGAGATGGTGTTGACATTCTAATCATTTTGGGAAGGAGTTTTGGTTTCTCTATCCACCCCAACCCGAGAAGGCATGGGGAACTTTGTACATAGCTACACAACTCAAGATGATTTACTCTAATTTCTCCAAGCCGGTTCAACCAAGTGTCAGATGGTGTGCACTATCCAAGTGCAGTACCATGAATTCCATGTCGATAGGGAACAGATGGGTGTTATCTCCTACCTTGACTTTGACTATAATCAATCATTCTACCTCAATGGTATCCTCTATGAACCCTGACAATAGGGTCTTTACAGGCTTGAGGTTGCCTCTAGAAAAGTCGAAGTTCATTGAAGGTGTTATAGTACATGAAGTTCATTCAACTTCCTGTATCAATTAAGATTCGGTGGACAATAACTTTGGTAACCTCTAACTTGATGACAGGGGTGTCTTGGGGAAGGGTCACGATGAGTGGAAAGTAATCATCAGTGAATACGATAGGCTCCCTCTGTGTCTTCTTAGGGAGCGGCGGCCTCTAGACCTCAGCGAGGTGGTAATTCTTCCATTTCTTCCAAGACGCAATAGAGTCCCCACCAGTGTTGCTTCCCATGTCAATGTTGCACCCTAGATGCCTTTGGTGCTACGTGTCGCCTCCATCAAGGTATAAACATTCATGTCCTAGATGTGTCTTGCCTGCATCCAAATTGTCCCCATTCATGATAGCAATGGGCTCAGTTGGTGATTTCTTCCAAGTACGTCCCCTGGAGCTAGTCCAGGAGTGGGCCTATCTCCCCATGGCGGTGCCCCTCTACCTATTAATTGATATACCTCCCTCTTCAAAGTAATGCCTTCCTTCTTAGGGATTCGATTACAATGATACTCATAGTCTTTGGATTTGCCTTGAACACTTACGCTTCCATAGTACTATAGCAGGAAGAGGAAGATTGTGATAGTATTTATGGGCACCCGAGTTAGGGCGTTAGGTATAATCCTTCATCTTGTTGTTCCCCCTAGACTCACCATTAGCCACAAGAGTCGTGTTTTGAGTTGGGAACTTGTCCTGGTGGTCATCTTCATCTTCCTCCAAGGCCAAAACCTAGCCGTGGCTAGCATTTCTTGATAGGCGGGGAGTGGATACCTCCTTAAGTCCCTGTGCACATCCCCTTCGTGGAGTGCCGCTTGGAGCATGGCTATAAGCACTTTGTTGTTCACTCCCTAGACGTCCCTAATTTCCTTCTCCCACTGAGTTAGAAAATTTCTGAGCTTCTCCCACTCCGTATCCTGACATTTAGAAGGTCAGAATAAGGGGGCTTCTAACGGCGGCTTGCCGAGAAGTGTTTGACGAATATCCTTCAAAAACTATTTCACTTATAAATGGATCCCTCCAGAAGCTTGTGAAACCATTAATTTGCTTTTCCCTCTAGGATTGCTAGAAAGCAGTGACAATTAAACTCTTTTGAGTACGCCAACATTACCATGTTGGCCCGAAACCGAGATAAATAGTCCCGGGGATTAGTAATTGCCTTAAATGCCTTGAATTGGGGCACCCTGAAATTTTTCAAAAATGAGTATGAAATAATGCAATGGGAGAACGAGGTTACTTCATTTAGGATGCCATGACAATAGGGGTTCTTGGCATCCACCCTCTTCTTCAGCTCCTTGATGGTTTCCCATAATTCTCCCACATCCCTACCTCCTTCGATAGGAGACGTTGCTCGCTTTCTAGAGGTGAAACGAGCATTAGATTTGGTTAGGACTCAACATGTCAGCTCGTGACATGAGTCCAGAGATCTTCACGCCATGATGAATGACCATTTTTGAAAAGGTTAAACACTGACACAAGTTGCCTTTCAGGCAATGCATTCTCCAACCTATCAAAGGCTGAGACACATTCCAATTAGAAGGACTCATCCTCCTCCTCCACAGGGTTTAGCACAACCACCACAGTCACCTTCTTGTTGACCTTTCATGTTCTCTTATTCTTAGAGCGACAAAGTTTTCTTCACCTTCTTGCCCACGGAACCTTATTCCCAAGCCTTATTTGTTCTTGGACCCCCATGACGAGTGGCGTCATGTTCTCTTGACCTAAGGTGAAGAGGGAAGCATTGACGACCTTCATATGCTTAGTTGTGATCTTAACCCATCTATGATACGTTGGGCTTCATCCGAAGTGTCTGGCAGTTGGCAAGCTACACTAGTGCCCCTTTTCTCCCCCCTCAACATTGGGGTTGCTGGTGGCATGGTGAGCGTTGCTTCAAGTGTGCACCATTTTCGTTCTACTATAGTTAAACTCAAGCATTATTCCTCAAGCTCTTAATGAGAGCACCAATTTCATGATAGTAAACTCCGCCAGATAATCAAATCTAGAAGGCCAAATCAAGTTGTTGAATAAATAGACCGAAAGTAATATGAAAGAAAACGTTTTAGAATATGATAATGGAGGAAGTAAATTGTATTTGTATTGAGCATGTCGATTACAATTGTTTTTGCCTCTATTTATAGGTCTAGTTTCAAGAGTGTGCAAGGAAAGTTATAAGCATGGAATGTTCAATTGCCTCAAGTCTCTGCCCTTAACATTTTGCCTTTCGCTCCAGTTCAATCAATGATGTGGTGTAAATCATCTCGGGAAAATAGCTGCTTCTCTCTTCATATGTGACTAGGCCGAAGACTTATTCTTCGCCCCTATGGGCGTGGCATGCTAGAGGGCCTGCGTCGTTCATCCCAAGTCATTCTCTTGGATCCATGCTAAGGGTTTAGCCGAGCCTAGACCGTGAAGGCCCAATATCCCATCAACTTCTTAATTTCCGATCAACAAAAAATTAATGTACAAGAGATTGAGGTTCCTATTGTTGTTAGAAGATGACGGAGTTGGCAGTTTGATAATAGAAGTGCCAACATCATTACGGTCGTGGTGATTGTGATTTTACAATGTAAAAACCTTTTATGGACCAATACCACAATCTTTAACTTTTGGTTGAGCTGTTTCCTTGACATAGTATTAAACTCTTGGTGACCTAAAGGTCACAATTTCAAATCTCACTGCTAGCCAATTTAAAAAAAATTAATTTCCACATGCAAGGCTCTGGCAACAACAAATTTATCCAACACGTGAGGGGTAGTGTTAGGGTATAAAAATATATCATGGGCCACACCCTTAAGATTAAGTTTTTGATTGAGTTGGTCTTTGCCAATGGCAATATGACGGTGGCGGTGAAAGTATGGGGGAGAAGGTGACAACGTGGCGGTGGAGGTTGTAGTGTGGAGGTGATGGTTGCGGTAATAGTGTGGTAGAGAGGGTGAAAATGTGGCAGGGAAGTGTGGCGGTATAGTTGGAAGTGTGGTGGGGGATGTGGTAGTGTGGAAGTGTATTTTAGCCATATTTTTGTTCTTCTCCCAGAAAACAAACCTAGGAAATACTATGAAAAAGATTAGTTACTCGTACAAAGTATGATATTAATTACCCTGCAACAAGAACACTGATAAGAATTGTCATTCCAATGGCAATCCCTGCAAGCTCTCCAATCTGTTTGTCAATAGATTCAAGAGAAAAAAGAAATTAAGAATATAACGTAACTTTAAAAAAATTAAGAATACGATATGCTGACATTATCGACATGGTAACTTTTGATTTAGAGATAAAAACAAAACATTTCTGTTTTGGTATTGTCTTCATGTTTAAACTCTTAGTTTAATTTTTTTCCTAACTTATTGAGCAAGAACAATATGCTTTATGCATATGGGGTTATATCTATAATTATTTAGGGATTTTTTTACTATAATCAAGAAATAAAAAATGTGGTGGCGTAGAAAACAAATCCTCAATAATCATAGGTTAACATACTACTTGTGCCAAAGCGTCAGTAGTGGAAGATGTAATTCTTTGTCATAGGAGGTACTTGCCCATAATCAATTTTTTTATTATATCAATAATTACCCAAAAGTTATGTCAAGTATAGACATGCTCTTAATACTCCCTCCATCATGAAACTATCTTCTTGTTCACTCTTTACACGTTTATAGTTCTTAAATATATAAAGTTTATTTTTAAATTCCACATAGTTTTGTAACATAAAGCACAACAGAAAGTTAGTTTTAGGATGAAGGGAACAAAAATGCGCTGGTTTCCTTGGGTTTTTATTAGTTAAATTAACTATTACTTCTAATCCCTTTAGCTATATCCATGTGAATATGAATATATAACCTTTTGTAGCATGTATATCTATTTATATTTATGGTGATCACCAATACAATATGTGCATCATTTGATACATTATATGGGTTGGGGTGTGTTTCAGTCCTAATGCTTATTGACTTATGGTTGATAAGTAGTTTTAAACATATAAGCTTCTTATAAATCAAATATTTTTTCTTGTAGATAAATCAACGTAAATGATATATGTCATTGGGGATGTTAATAATAGGTGAGTGAAAGTTTTGTAAATAGAAATATTTACACTAAATAGCACTAAAACTTAAGTCATTTCCCTAAATAGCATTTAAATTGTTTTACTCCCTAAATAGCACTTAATAATGTCCATAATGTCCTGTGATGACGAATATTTGCTTGAGTAATGACTAATGCATAATGACTAAAAGTTCTACATTGGGAAGAAAAATACATATAATGCTATAATTAGAAATGAAAAAATGGCTTAAATAAGTAGCTAAGACCTATTTATTTTTTCTTTCTTATAAGGAGCTTATAAGTCTGCTTATAATAAGCACAAAGAAACATGTCATAAGCTAACTTATAAGTCCAGCTAACTTATAAGTTAAAACATCTTATAAGCAGTTTTGACTAGCTTATAAGCACAGAGAAGTGCCCACATCATATTGAGCTAATTGCTTTATACAAATACTTGCTATTTTCTTTTTTCAATGTGCTATTCTCTATTCTGCCTCAAACAGATGTCGGTCTCCATTGTTGGCACCCCATATTCAGGGTTCTCTTCTACGTCTAAACAGGTTTGAATGTATTTCTAAAAGGACTTTCATATTAAATTAACCAATACACACGTGTTGAATTGAGTTTCCTTGGCTACGTTGTTGGATCTATCAAGGCTACCTATCGATTTCTTAATTTTATTCACAAGCAACCCAACCCTACGTACACCTTATTGTATGGTCACAATGTCATTAATATGAGTGCCATCCTCTGGGATTATATTAAGGTGGTCTAGCCATTAATCTCTGTTATAGACAAGTTCGCACAGTGGCGGAGCCAAGATTTAACACTTGTGAGGGCATGAATGGAACCTTTGGTTTAATAAAATCATTTAAATCAAATCATATTCATGTATTTAGATTTTTGGACAACATATACATAGCTAATTAATATCAAATCAACTTTTTGGGTTAGAATTATGCAATACATAAATAAAAGATGAAAAAAGTTACCAAATACTTTCAGAGGCAGGAGTGGGAGAGATATGAATCGAGGTAGAAGGAATGTTAGCATCCAAAGAAGAAGCAGACGTAGGATCGTTTTCTAGAACTTCCCAGTGGGTCACCAATCCTGGGACTACTCCCGTTCCAACACGCTTAACCACAGAGTTCTGAAGTTAAAGAGGTGCCAAATGCTTCCTAAAACCAATTGGTGATAGAAAGGTGGACACTATGTATTTAACCACATCTCTCTATAGCCCCAAGCCGAGGTAGATTCCTACAGGGCACCCCTTATAGTTCACTACGGCAGTGCGGAGCCCCACTACTGAGCGGTGGATGGACAGGAGGGGCTTCGCAAGAGACACGACTCATGTACCTCGTCATGTGAGGCTGTCAATACCCGATACCGTGCTAAGCACAGTAGCGAATCCCTAAGGGTGATCGATGGTCCCCAAGAAGACCAACAATCTCCCCCCTAGGGACACCCGGGGGATTCGAGCCTGCTTCCTCGCTCCGATACCACTTGTAGGATCGTTTTCTGGAACTTCCCAGTGGGTCACCAATCCTGGGACTACTCCCGTTCCAACACGCTTAACCACAGAGTTCTGAAGTTAAAGAGGTGCCAAATGCTTCCTAAAACCAATTGGTGATAGGAAGGTGGACACTTTGTATTTAACCACATCTCTCTGTAGCCCCAAGCCGAGGTAGATTCCTACAGGGCACCCCCTATAGTTCACTACGGCCGTGCAGAGCCCCACTACTGAGCGGTGGATGGACAGGAGGGGCTTTGCAAGATACACGACTCATGTACCTTGTCAGGTTGGGCTGTCAATACCCGATACCGTGCTAAGCAGAGTAGCGAATCCCTAAGGTTGATCGATGGTCCCCCATAAGACCAACAACAGAATCTAAGGAAGGAACATTAGGATGAATCTGAGAATCCTAAGAAGAAGATGTAGAATGAGGGTAATTAGAAACATAAGCTGTGAGATTTTTGGGATTATAATGTGAAGAGGTGTCATTCACAGGTTGAGTGGTGTCATGGCAAGAATGAAAAACAGGGTTTGTAAAAGTGGATGCTGATAAGGAAATACAAATTCGTGAAAGATAACATCTCTGTAAGTGATAATTTTGTGAGTAGTGAGATTATATGTAACGCCCCAAAACATACCCTAAAATTTATTGAACTAAAAATTCAATTAAACAAATTTGTTTTGTTTAAAATTAATTATTATTGGGCTTTGGGCCCGATATGAAATATGTTCTAAAGTCCAATATCACAATCTGGATAAATCTCATTGAGATAAATCCAATATGTTGACTATTTGTGTAACCTTGATTGGGAACCAGAGTACAGACCCAAATCAAGAATAAATTAAGAAATTGACTTGTGATGTAAATTTTGAAATGGTTTATTAAAATAAATCATGGGAATAAATGATATGAATTAAATAAGAGAACCTTTTTAAATAAATGTCAATTAAACTACTTTTGACTCTGTCAAAGTCATACACCCGAAAATATGATGTCGGAAAAAGTATTACAAATAAATATAAAAATTATATCATTGAATAGAGCTCGACTGTCTGATCGTGACGATGCAAACGGAATTCAATTCGGAGAAAGTTGCACCAAAAAGTGTACCCCAACTGGAACCAAAATTGATCCCAATCAGGGACACTGTGGAGACGGCGCCTCCTAGCGCACTAGAAAATTTCCTACGTAGCACCACTTCACCATTGTCTCCTTCTTCTTCATTTTTCCTATTTAAGGAAGGAGAACCAACTTCCATTTTTTTGCACCAAAACTTAGTAAGTTTAGTATCATTGTGTTCCTTGTTGAGTGGGGAGTTCATTGGTGCTGTCAATTTGGTGTGGAATCGCCGGAGCTAAGAGTTATCGTTGCCGGAAGTTTCGCCGGAAAATTTCCAAAACATCCATTAAGCTTCGAGGTAAGCCCGTAGATATATCTAATGACTAGAATGTTCATATAGGTCGTTTCTACGTTCATAAATGGTTATTTGGTTGATTTTTGTGTTTGACATGCTTGAAGAGCTAAGAATCATGAACCATGAAATTGATGTTAAAATTATGAATTAATGATGCTAAAATGATCTATGAACCTTGGGGAACATTTTTATATACTTTAATTGAAGTTTGGAGAGTAAAATTGACATTTCCGCAAGTTGACTCGAGGTAGAAGACGATGAATAGTCGATTATCCACTTAAAAATCGACTATAGCTTGTTCTGCAAATTTTTGGAATAGAGCTGAGCAACAGTAGACTGTCAGAATATGACAATCGACTGTCAGGCCTCTCTGAAGTTTGATAATCGATTATCAGAATGTGATAATCGATTATCAGCCTATTATTGTTTAGAAAATAGGATTTTTGAACTATGGAATATTATTTTTGATATCAAAAAATTATGATCAATGTAAAGATGATTTGTTGGAATATAAATGAAGTTTGGACAACTAAAAGGATCTTATTTGATGCATGACGGTAAGCTAGGGTGTTAACACTCGACGCTAGGCCGCTAATTGTTATTGGATATTATGATGATTGATTGATTATTGATTATAATGAATATTATGGATTAATGATGATGATTATTTTGAATGAAATAATGATTATGAAATGAATTGGATTATAGGATATCTAGAAGAACTCTAAGATATACATAGGTTGACATTGGTTTCTAAGACTATGTAGAAGACCTCTAAGATAGCTTAGAAATAGGCCTTGCGGGTATAATTATGAATATTCGGTGGCCTGGGTTAAAACGTATGTACGGGATCTACAAACCAAACTAGAGGAACTCGTTTGGGGATACCACCCAACCCGACGCTAAGCATTCCGCTGTTCGGTTTCTGGATGACCTTAAGCGAACGTAAGTTTAAGATTTTTAAAACCTCTTTTTGAAAATTTGTATCTTAAACTAGGCCTAGCTTAAGGGTTAGTTAAGAGTACCTTAAACTGGAATACAGTTCAGTTACCTTAAACTATAATTCGTTTAAGAGTTGGTAAACATCAAATAGATTGGCCTTAGACTAAGAATAGTTTAAGGATATTGTTGAATGATGATGTTGAATGTTGAACATTAATATTGAATGATGAATGTTGAATATTGATTAT